AGATCCGGGTGATTCCGGATCTCCCCTCCTTCCGCCGCGCCCTCAAGACATGGCTATTCAAGTTAGCAGGACTGGCCTAAGGGTTATTTTAATTTGGTTTTAAAATAATTTAAAATGAATTTTCGGTTTTAGAGTAATGTTTCATTTTAATTGGCATGTTGAGTTTGGCATTTTTGTATTTGTGTATTTGTTTTTGAATAGTTGTAAGCCGCCCTGAGTCCGCAGGGAGAAGGGCGGGGTAGAAATATAATTAATAATAATAATAAATAATAGACCTTAGTCACATAAAACTTCATAAGAAAAAACAGTATTTTGAATTGGTGTCAACTTATTGGCAATTAATGTAGTATCACACACAGTCGAAGCTCTTGCCTGCTAACATCTTGGCCATTTTGTTTTGTACTGGCTGAAACTTCTAGGTCATTTTCAAAGTCAGCTAACATATAGAAGCAAAGAGGGTATGACCTGCCATCTGTTTTTCTTCTTCATCTACTTTCTTCGTTTTTTTTTAATATAAAATTTTATTGATTTTCTATTTTTACAAATAGATTTTTGTAGATTTTACAAATCATAGTTGCTTAATAAACAATGTGTTGTCTGGATTCATTTTTTACTTAACAATACATATTAAAAGTATGTCTTTTTTATTTGTTCTTCAATATCGCTCTGTCAGTTTTTACACATTCTGGCATTTTCTTAATCCCTTCTTCAAGTGATGTTTCTTCACTTTTCAAACACTAAACAAATGCAATTCTTTCTGGTATTAATACATATAACATACATACAACATTAAATATATGCTTCTTCGTCATATTTTTCTAATATTATATCTACTAACAATAGTTCTAAATTATAACATCTTTTCTATCCAGTTCATATCTCAATTTTATTTGCAATTAAAATCACCTTATTAAGCCAATAACCTGTTTTCTTGACTCTTATTTCCATTTTGTTTTCCCTTCAGTATTCAAAATATCTTTATAAATTGCAATTTTCTCAACAGTAATTACATTAAGGTGAGTAAAAGCTTCCCTTATTGAGAGCCATCCTGTTGTTTTCATGTTTCCCATCTCATAGAAAAGTACACCATCCTAAATATAAATCATATATTTCTAAATATGATAATCGTTTAATAATAATAACAATAACAACAACTATAACTATATTGTCACTTTGAATGTATACCAATCGGCATACCTCAAAATGAAATTTCGTTGCATACAGCTCTGAAAGGGCCACCACCTCCGATATACACTCCTTGTTCATGGCCAGCTCAAGTTATAGATCTTCCATTTTAGTCTCTAGGGAGCGAACGATGGCAAACAGGACAGATGGAAACGGAGCTCCATGTGGATTAGCCCTCAAATTAGCTTGTATTTCTGCACGACAACCTCACCTCCTTTCCTTTTTCTGATCCTGTCTCTTCCACCTTTTCCTTAAAGAGGCCTTGCTCCTTTTCGCTCCTGGAGCATGCTGCTGTTGCCACCAACTCCTCCAAAAGCCTCTCTCCCTTCCTCTGGGCCTGCCGACAGCCTCATCCAGTTCCTTTGCTCCATAAGCCCCGGGACCTCTCCTTCTCTGCCTCCTTTGGAAACAGCCCTTATATGCAATAGAATCTGTTACTGGGCCAACAGTCAGATCTTGCTGCCGGCAGAACAATTTCAAACAGTGCCAACAACTTTTAACGGTCTCAACCAACAGTTCCGAAACAGCTAGAAACTCACCATGCCAGCAAAGATTGTCAGTCGTATGTTAGTTCCACCACGTTGCTCAAATCCATTAAAACCTTCCTGATCATGTGGCCTACATCCCTTAATATCCCTCCCAAAACTTTTCACCTTTGAGAGCCAATGCAACCGTAGCCGATCCAGGTGCTGCCATCTTAGAACTCTAACTTAACTCTAAACTCTAATATCTAGAGGTTATCTGTTTCTAGCCATATTCAAGCACCTGTTTGATAATATAGGGCCCCATCCAATGGATCAAGTTGTCTATTTTCTTTAGTCTAACTCTAGCTTTCTTCCTTTGCCAGATAGGTTTCCAAATCCGTGTATTTAAATTGTCAAAGAATTTTTCCTCTATTTTTATGGGTACTCTTTGTAGTGTGGAAGGCCATTTAAGTAAGATATTTCTGAGGGGGAGTTCAACCCAATCATATTCATTGAAAAGCTCCAACTTTCCTCCTCCCTCAGCTTTTATTTTCTTGTTTCCCAGTTTCTAACACTTCTTCTAAAGGCTCCATAATCTGTTATTTGCAGTTGTCTTCCTTATTTTCAAGTACATTCTGAGATCTTGAGGGATGGTGTGCCTTTTCCATTTCCAGTATCTCTAAGTCTTCAGTATTTTTTTTTTGTCTGTGCCAGTCTGTAGTTTCCTTCCTTTATATACTCTGTCTTTGGATCAGTTTCTTCTATTCTATTCTCTATTTTCTGGGTTCCTTGTTCATTCTTTATAGTCATTTTCTGGGGATTCCCTAGTTTTGATTTTAAATGAAGAACTTGCTTATTTATCTTATTCAGATTCTCTTTAGTCTCTTCGTGGTTTCTTCTTGAGTCTTCTTTATGTGACTCAATTGCCTCTTGAATTGATTGCAATATAAATTGCATTTCCTTCTGGAAGTTATTAGTTCTTTGTCTCTGGTGTACCAGATTGGGGGCTTCAGAGACAGATACTTGGGGTGGTTTTTTACCACTTTTAGCTAAGTGTGGATCATTCATTTTTGTTCCCTCCCTCTATTTGTATTTCCCAGGTGCTAGTCTTGTTTAACAGGACCAATCTTATAATCAATACAATAATATACAATTTAAATTTAGATTTAGGTTTAAAATAATCTCATATAGTTCTTATAATATTTATGTGTAGCCTTTATAATCAAATAAGTTCCAAAATATAGGTCCACCATCAACAAGGGTTTTTTGTCACAACTGTTCTGTCCAGGAATCCAAAAATTTCAGTCAGCCAATGATTGTAATCCACAGTGTCCAGCCACCTTACAGTCAATCCTTTAGTCTCCCCCCGGTAAAAAATAACCAAGAGGCAGAAAGTCAAAGGTTAAAGTTCAGTCCTTTTTTGTAATCCTAGATAGTCAGCAAAGAACTTCCACCAAGCAAAGAATAGTCCAAAATATTTTTCTCCATTGCCAGCTGTTCTCTGTTGAGCTAAAAGCTTGACTGAAGATCAAAGAAGCTAGGTGTTTATCTATGTCTGGACATTGTGACAGATCCGCTCTAGCCACAACAAGCTTGATGCTGTACCTCTATACCACCACTAGATGTCCTCAGATGTCTATTTTCCAACACTTAAGGCAAACAATTATTTCCGCTTTAAAGTTTCTTGAATTTCACCCCAATATTCTTTCCAAAGAGAAAACCCTTATCAGTTTTCTCAATTCTAAAGTTTGTCAATGCACTGTCTTTGTAGTACTTCCACTTTGGTATTATATTCTTCTTTGTTTTTGTCCCCAAGAAAAGTTCACCCACTGCTTTTACTTTCGTCTTTGTTATCATGATGTATTAAACTATACTTTCTATTTTGTTTAATTTTATTGTACATTGCCCAGAGTCAATTTAAAGTCAGATGATACCTAAATTGCAAAGATTAAATTACTGTTGCCAGAGCTTCATGGTCAAGATGGCGCCCATATATTTTATTTATTTATTTATTAAATTTATATATCTCTATCTTGTCAGAAGTGAGTCTGGGTGGTATACAACATTCAAAATCATGCTATAAAACAATTGTTATAAACAATATAAAAATATAAACCATTATAATTTTAAAATATCATTAAAAATTAAAAACTAATATATAGCACTCATGCCTTTGTTAAGCTACTATTTTTGGCTGAGACGTCTACAATAGGTCATTAAAAGGAAAAATTGTATAACTTAATTCCTATAATATCAAGTTGTAGGATTGCATTCTGTAAAAAATACAAATTATTTTTTTCAGTTTGGAGAATTTTTTTTTGAAACAAAAGATTCCTGTAACATTTCTTAAAACAAGAAGAAATTAGCATCAGACTTTTTCATATTTATTTTCTAAAAGTTCATATTATATTTAAAGGACTTTTTCTACACAAACTAAATGGCCAGTTACAAAAAGCACAGTGATAAGTTTCCTAGCTTGGAGATACATCATTCCAATTTACATTATTGATTAGATTGGGAAATTGTTACCCAGTAATTCCAGAGGTAGAAACATATGTAATATTATTATTTTATCTTTACAGTGGCACAGAAGATTATTTCAACCAGAAAAAAACAGCAGCTTTCAATAGGTCCTTGCAAATCATTACCAAATTCTCCAAGCCACTCATCAGTATGTTCAACCCAGGTCTCTGCAGTACATATTAGCCAGGTATGGAATTGCATTCATTTATTTTACTGGTAGATGAAGATTGGGTATAAGTACTTTTTGTGATTCTGACAATGGATATTTTCACTTCTCCATTGAATGGCTTGAACTACTGTTCTTGTTACCTGATTTGAATTAACATTTTATTTGTAAGTGGTTTATATCTAAATTATTATCATTGTTAAAAATCATCAGAAATATTCCTGAAGTGGGATACATTGATTTTGCCTTGAGATTCATACAGTAGGTAAAACTGAGACAAAGTGGAATGATTCCTAGAATTAAATACAGTAATTTAAAAATACAATTTGATTAAAAGGATTTCATGCAACAGAAAGAGAAGAATTGCTGAACTATATATTAAAAGGTCCATAGTAGCTGCAAATCATAGAATTCTGCAGTTGGAAGGGATCATTTTTGCCACTGAGTTCAGTGCTAGAATCCAGATTGAAACCTGTGTAATCTATGAATGATAGCATCAGCTTGAGATTTCAGTAAAAAGAAACCCACCATCTCTCTGGGTGATTGCCTGCACTCTTGAGCTCTTGTTACTATTAAAAATTACTCTAACTCAAACCCATTTTTCTGTATCCTTCTGTCTGGAACAAGAGAATTCTTCAACATGAGTTTTCATATATCTGACGAATTTTAACATCCCTCCCCTCCACCCTGTCCCAATTATCTTTTCTTAAGGCTAAATCTATCCAGACCATTCTATTTTTCAGAATCCTTCATAAAACATTGTGCCCAGAACTGCACACAATATTCAAGACAGGATCTAATTTAAAAAAACCAGAAGTGAGTGAAATAATTATATGATAAAGCAATGCAACAAAAGGTGTACTAAAGAATAGAAATTATTATAGAAATTATAGAAAGCCTTGTGCTTTCCTTTTTAACTAATCTCAGCTCTCCTTTTTTTCCCTTCATTGTTGTCCTCTTCTATCTCTTTCCCTTCTTGAACCAATTGCCCCTTTTAAACAATTACTTCAACTTTATATAAGCAAATAAGTTACCATTCACATAATACCAATGTTCACAAAGTAGGAGAAAAATACATTATTCTATGTAATCATATCATGAGCTGAAAAAGAGGCAAAAAAGCAGTAACAACATAGTGAAATTAAAGGAATCTTCCAGAATTTCACAACAGCCATCTAATTTATACATATTAACAAGGTATTAGCCTAATTAATTAACCCTTCTCATACATGTAGGGTTGCTTAACCTAACAATGACTTTGTCATGGTTCCGACAGATGAAACCCATCAAAAGAACTTCGAGGCAAAATTCTTCCTTGAACATTTATTCGAGAAACAAAGTATTAGCACTACATAGTTGAACCCAAAAACTAAATTCCCTTCCCCCAGATACAAAGTAAAAAAGTACAATTCCCACCCCCAATAAACTGTCATAGAACATATTCTCCAATTAGCTTCAAGCGCAGGCTTTCTCCTCAGCTCCTCAGCCCGCCAAAATGTTATCAGCTCATCCTTGAATGCCCGCAGCAGCATTATTATTATGGCTAGCTGAGCTTACATCCCACACACACCCCTGCTGCACCTGAATTCTTAAAGTAAGAAAAGCATGTTAAAGGAGAAGAGAAAATGGCTGCATTTTCATCAGTTGTCAAAGCAGGAACATCCAATGTTAGCAGCGTTGACATCTGCCCCCCCTTACAAAAAGGACAAATCCTGCAATTCAAACAAAATCATAGGTTAGGGCAGGGGTAGGCAACCCAAAGCACTCAAAGAGCCACTTGGACCCGTTTCCCACTGAAAACAAAACACTGGGAGCCGCAAATATTTTACCTTTATGATATATATATATCATAAAGGTAAAAAAGGATATATGCAGTGTTATCTTCATTTTAGATGTCAAAAGGGTCTCTCTGTCTCTGTCTCTCTCCCCCCCCCCTCTCTCTCCCTCTCTCCGATCTTCTGCTTACCTGGCAAGCTGGCTTCAAGCTGTTCTCCAACAAGCTCAGGGGTAGGAAACCTCGGCTCTTTTATGACTCATGGACTTCAACTCCCAGAATTCCTGAGTCAGCATAGCTGGGCTAGCTAGCTCTCTCCTGCCCTTCCTGCTTCCTGCAGAGACGCAGCAAAGGGAGGAGCTCCGCCCAATAAGCTTTTCAGCTCCTCCGAGAACACCGTGTGAGTCCACTCTCTTTTTTACACACAAACACAGAGAGAGAGAGAGAGAAAAAAGGGAAGGCAAGTGCCTCTCTCTGTCTCTGTCTCTGCAAATGACAGAGGAGGCTGGGAGCCGCAGGGGAAGGGACCTAGGTACTTCGGTCCTAACCTCTTATTAGGTAACTTAAGTCATAAATATTTTCTGGATAAATAAACTTTTCCCCCAACTTGGAATGATCTTTGGGGAGCCCTCTTTTCATCTGCTTGCTTTTTATACATCTCAGAAGCCTTTTTCAGAGAGATTTTTGTGTTTTTCCTTACCTCCTCCCGCCCCCTCACCAACTGGTCAAGCGTTTGGGAAGTAGAAGGTCCTTGAGGATATTCGGGTATTGGGTTGAACTCTTTTCCTGTGGCAACATTAAAAGGCGTAAAATTGGTGCTGCTGTGGACAGAGTTATTATAAGCCACCTCTGCGAAAGGGAGGAGGTCATTCCAGTTCGTTTGCTGATAGTCCACATAGCATCTGAGATACTGCTCCACCATTGAGTTCGCCGATTCAGCCGCCCCATTTGTAGACAGGTGAAAAGCCAACGACAGTCCTTGTGAGGAGCCAATTAACTTGAGAAAACCTCTCCAGAATCTGGCCGTAAACTGCACCCCCCAGTCCGAGATTATTCGTTTTGGCGCACCGTGCAGTCTATAGATATGCTTCAAAAACATCTTGGTTAGTTGTTGGGCTGACGGGAGTCCTTTGCAGGCGATGAAATGAGCCTACTTTGAAAATAGATCTATCACAGTCCAAATCACCGTATTCCCCCTACTTTCAGGTAATTTCACTATAAAATCCATAGCAATTGGGAAGGGTCCGCCACCGGTTGTAATAGTCCAGGGGTTTTCCCCGGAATTCTTTTCATGGTGGCATACACAGCACAGCTCTTGACATAGTTCTCTATGTCCCGTTTCAGACCTGGCCACCAAAATTGCTGACGAACCAGATGCAGTGTTTTTAAATATCCAAAGCGTCCAGCTTCTTTCACATCATGACCGTGCTGGAGAGCATTGAGGCGGAGGGTTTCAGGCAAATACAACTTCCCCCCCTTTGTAAGCCAAATCATCCCTGCACATCAAGGAGGTTTAATTTTCTTTGAACCATCGATCGTTGAGGAGTTCCTGTTTTAATTTCCTCACCCCAGGGTCATCGGGGTTTGGGACTTTCAAAGATGGGTCTCTCCTTAGCGTTAGTTGAGAAGCAGCTTGCGGTGTAGATATAATTGCTTCATTAACCTCTTCATGCTGGCTTTTATATTGAGATAATCTGGATAAAGCATCAGCTAAAAAGTCCCCCGTCCCCCGGTATGTACTTCAGGGTGAAGTTAAATTGGTTAAAGTATTGTGTCCACCATACTTGTTTCGGGGACAGCTTGTGGGGAGTTTTCAGTGCCTCTATGTTTTTGTGATCAGTCCATACCTCGAAAGGCACTTTGCTCCCTTCTAGATAGTGTCGCCAGTTTAATAGAGCCCAACAAATTGCGAAGGCTTCTGCGATGACCCAGGGCCCCGAACGGAGGCAAAGCAATTAGCTAGTCAGAATAATTGTCTTTGTAAGCACTGCCAACGTTCACCCAACAGTCCCCCCATATGCTGGCACAAGTTCAATAAAACAGTCAACGGAGTTCAACAGTTCTTTAAAGTAAAACAGATAACAAACAAAGTATGATTTTTTCAACGCCCAGCTTGCCTGTAATCTGCAAACTGCAAAACTGAAGACAGCAAAAAAAACTCAGCAGGAAACAAACTTGATCCAAGATACAAAGAGTCCAGGTACAAGAGCTCACATCACAAGAGTTCACGTTTGTTCCCGGCAAATGCCCCACCCCACAGCGTCTCCTTAAATGCCTACTCCCCAGGTGTGCCTTGTAAAGTAGGGCATGACGCTCTCTTCCCGAGCAAGTGAGCCTGCCTCCGTTGTTCCCTCTCCTCTCTACTCTCCTTACTCTGGGATCTGGTGGGGAGGGGCCTTGCTCCTCGCCTGAGCTCTGCCTTCCCTGTTCCAAACTTGAAGGGCCCTGGCCTGCTTCAGCCTGTTCCTCCCCACAGTCCTCCAAAGCCACAGACACCCCCTCCTGGGCCTCAACAGGGAACTCCATGTCGTCCTCAGAGTCAGGCTCGGACGGAGGCATGACAGCTTCCTTCTCCCACACTGCCCACCTTCTCTCGCAGTTGGTGAACTTTTCTGAGGTGTAGGCACAGGGCTGTAGGACTTCATCATGGTTCTTTTGCAATAATACAGCTCTGACAGCCACGTCGCTGGCATCGACTTGACTCACAAAGGATTTCCCCGGACAAGGATGCTTTAGGACTGGCTCGACCGCAAATAGTCTTTTCAAATTCTCAAAAGCAGTTTAACAGTTCATAGTCCATGCTAGCGGCTGGCCCAATCACAGCTTTCCCCCCCTTTGCCTGTTTTCAATAAGTCCATGAGGGGTAAAGCAATTTTGGCAAAGGAGGGATGAACTGTTGGTAAAAGTTGGTGAATCCCAGAAAGCTTTGAAGCTGTTTGCGAGTCTTTGGGGGTTGCCATTTGATTACGGCTTTCACTTTAGTAGGATCCATTTCAATGCCCGCACTGGAAATTCTGTAGCCAAGATAATCTAGTTGGGTCTGATGGAACTCACACTTTGATAGTTTAACATATAGTTTGGCATTCAACAACTTCTTTAACACTTCTCGCACTAGTTTTACATGGTCAGGATATATCAGGATATCATCAAGATACACCAAAAATCCTTTGTATAAATGATCATGTAGTACCTGGTTGATCAGCTGCATGAAGACAGCTGGAGCCCCCTGTAGTCCAAATGGCATGAC